ATATCATTTTATCATCCAATACTAAATAATTTTTTAATATCATTTTATTTAATTAATCATTGGTTAATTTTTACGCGTTAACTCTATTTGCAGTTTGATAAACATTATTTTTGTTGTTATTTTTAATAATTTTTTATAGTTAAGTTACAAATAATTGATTAATTCTTATCTATTTTTATTTATTATTGCTACAATTAGTTTTTAATAATATTATTTAATTTTATGTTGTTTTAATTATTAAATTGATTTTATTATTTGAATTCTGTCAGTCCAATAATTCTTTCATCCTAATTTAATAAGAATATTATTAATTGTAGTAGTACATGTTCAGTAGGAGTTTAATAAAGGTAGATTAGTTATATATGATCTCTATTATTATTATTATTATTATTATTATTATTATTATTATTATTATTATTATTATTGAGAAAGGAGCCGCGAGAAATAAGATCTTCAACAAATCCAGTCTTTGAGCGATCTGAATGAAGTGTTGAGCGGAAGAGCGACCAATAATTAACACAATTTTAGTGAGCAGTCCGGAATAAGCTATTGGTCTAGGCAGTATAAATTGAGTCAATTCCGAAGAAGGCAAGGGGTATCTCATCATCAATTTGGCTCCGGACCAATTCCGGAGGCTTCTGATCGGCGACTGATTCTGGTGTTCAGCGGTGACGAATTCTTCCGTTAGCAGCTTCAAATTCTTCCTTTCAGCAGCGAATTACATTCTAGATAGCAGCACATTGTCCCTGGTTCTATTTCCCTTACTTCAAATTGCAATTCGTTTTTCTTTTCACTTTGTTAATTTATCAAACTCTAGTGGTAAGCTTTATTATATTTAATTTTCATGTTAATCATTGTTTTTCTTTCTTAATTTGTTTGTCTCGTATTTGTTTTGTTTGAGTTATTAATCCAATTCATTTAAATTCAAGTATGTTAAATTGCAAACTGAGTTGCTTCATGAATCATTAATATATGACGTTAGCCAATTAGTTAGTATTTTGAATAATTACCAGGTTTATGATTTCAAAGCGGTAGTGTTAATTTATCATTCAAAGTCTTCCTCATTGAGCTTTTAATTTATGGATGAGTTGTTGGTTTATTTGCTTAGGGAAATGTTGAATAGCTAATTGCATTTGCTTAAGAACATGATGATATTAGTATGAATTGTTTGCAGTAATTTACGTTTAATTTGTCAATTGAATTAAGTTTTATTCTAAGTTTAGTGTTGAGATTAATTGTGTTGAATTTGACAAATTTAGCATGAGTTAATCTATAGAGGGAATTAATTTAGTCAATCTAGCTTGTATTCCCTAGCTGTTTTGTTTCATGGTTAATTTATTGTTTTCCCTGCCTTTATTTTTGCCTGCGTTTCTATTTAGTTTAATCCATTTTGATTGTCGTCTTCTTTAATCTATTTGTTAATTCTGCTTTCTGGTTTAATTCTATTACTTAACTTTCTGAATTTTATTGATCGTTATCTTTGGCATTTTAATCTAGTACTTTACATTATCAAGTCAATTATTTCTTTTAGTTTAGTCGGTATTAAATTGCATCGTACAATTCCATGTGGGTTCGACCCTTGCCTTTGCACCTTATTACTACACTGACTCGTGCACAGTTGCTACCAACCCAAATTTATACGCATTGAACAGTGATATTCGATCAGCCACACTCTTCATTGTCTCAACATATGGTAACATTTTCCTGTATTAAATATCTGTCTATTTCTTTGTCTGTCGTATATGTTCAGTTTTAGGTTATATATTGTTTGAATTAAAACATAATATACATATACTATTAATCTCATGTTAAATATGTTTTGATAAAAAATTTGCAGTTCATATGCGCAACATGTCTACACCGTCCACTATACGTTCTTTTAATATGTCAAATATGTCAACTTCGACGTCTTTATCACGCCAACCATTAGTTGATGTATCAAACGGTAATTTATTTTACATTGTTCACGATTTGTTCCATCTTTGTTAGTGTTATTCTATTGCCACAACTTTTTAATATATATTATTACAACAATAAATAACAATTTATTATGTTTTATCCAGTGCAAAGACCAGCACATCCTCAATCTAATTGTGCTTTGCGGTCAGATGTGAGAACTTCCAATACAATATCGTCAAGACCAAATGCAAGGAATTTAAATACGGATTTTGAACATTTCGTATGTGAAAACAACAGATATGATAATTTTTTATGAACTCACAAATATTAGTAATTTTCATTTTTATGAATTCTCAAATCTTTTATGTTCATCTTCGTTAATTATTAACTATTTATGTAATTAGATTCCTATTTGGACTTTGGAGATGCTGCTCATTCCTGTAATTATTGCGGTGCCTTATTTTGGCGACATGAGCGCTCAAATCAAAATGTTACGCGAGGATTGCCGAAATACACAAAGTGTTGCTACGAGGGCAAGATACAATTACCTCGCATGAAGAATCCTCCTCCCGTTCTCCAGAGCCTATACTTTTACGATAATGAACAGAGCAGACACTTCATCAACAATATTCGAAGATATAACAACATGTTCTGCTTCACGTCTCTGGGAGGTAGAGTCAATAGGTCAATCAACACCGGTAACAGTCCTTCGATTTTTAGGATAAGTGGTCAAAATTATCATTGGATTGGAAGCTTGGTTCCAGGAGGAGGTTCCATGACAAAGTTGGCACAGTTATATATTTACGACACAGATAATGAGATTAATAATCGCATCAATTCTGTTACATAAGTATCCAAATACGTTATACCTTTCGTTTTGTTTACACCAACAATGACATCTATTGTTTATTTACATCTGTTTGTTTCCTATGCAGAAGAGATGTTAACTCAAGGGATATCCACGAAAATATTGTTGAGGAATTAAAGAACATGTTGGACGGAAATAATGTTTTGGTAAAATGTTTCAGAATGGCAAGAACTGAAATTCAGTCTAATCCAGTTGTTGCGGTTAAAATGAATTTAATCGGCAGGCGAAATAAAGATGGAAGGACATACAATTTACTTACCGCTAATGAGGTGGTTGCACTTATTGTCGGGGACCTTGACCCATCGATGGGTGATCTAGACATATTGATTGAGAGCCAGACTGGACAGTTGAAGAGAATAAACCATTTGAACCCTGCATAATTGCCCCTACAGTACCCTTTGTTGTTCCCATATGGCGAAGATGGTTACGTTATAGTGAATATATTACATTTTCTAATGCATTGAGCCAAGGACATCATGGTGGTAGGACAAGAATTAGCCCTAAAGAGTATTTCTCATTCTATATACATGAGAAGGTAAATGAGAAACATACATTGTTATATTCTAGGAGGTTATTTCAACAATACTTGGTTGATGCATATACAATTAATGATCGAACATGCACGTTTGATCTACATTAGAACTCATCAGAAGGCGTTGCGTTGTGAAGCTTATCAGGGCCAGGGTTGAGCGATGCATTAACAAGGGGCGAATTAGATCCCACAACTCGGGATAAAAGAATTATACTACCATCATCATTCACAGAGTGAAAATAACTTAACTTTTTAATTAATAAACGAAAAAGGGAAAATGCTGAAAATGGAGAATTTTGGAAAAAGAAAAAGAAAAAAGAAAGATATCTGAACAAAATGGAAATTTGTGTAAAAATAGGAAATTTTGAAATAATGAAATAATGAAAATCCAAGAAATTGATTGAGATACAATTTTTATTGGGATTTTCCAAAAAGGATGCTGTAACAGCTATTGAGAATCAAATATGGTTAAGATTTATTATTTGATTTTTAATCATACAATTCCTTCTCCGAAAAAGTTAAATTTTCAACACCAAAGGCTCAGAACATTTGATAAGATGTAAATTATGGTGACTAATAACTCACGCCTCACAGAGCAATCGTTATGCTGTGCATCCGTATGCACCATGCATGGTGCATACGGATGCCAAAAAGACGCCGTTTTATTAAAAAACGCGCGTCTCCCCTTTAAAAAATTTTCAGGTTCGATTCCCAGCAACAACATTATATTGTTCATTCATTCTGGAATTTTAGTTCATAGATTATGGAATTATAGTTCATTGATTATGGAATTATAGTTCATCGATTATGGAATTATAGTTCATCGATTCTGAAATTTTAGTTTATAGATTATAGAATTTTAGTTCATTCATTCTGAAATTTTTAGTTCATAGATTGGATTATGGAATTATAGTTCATCGATTATGGAATTATAGTTCATCGATTATGGAAATATAGTTCATCGATTATGAAATTTTAGTTCATATGTTGTTGCTGGGAATCGAACCTGATTTTTTTTTTTTTAAGGAGAAACGCGCGTTTTATTAAAACGACGTCGTTTTTGCATCCGTATGCACCATGCATGGTGCATACGGATGCACAGCATAATTTGCCCTCACAGAGTCAAATGTCAGTGCGCATAAGAAATCTGTCCATTTTGGATATAATCTTCACACTGCCATGTACCGCTAAAGTTCAAACAGTGGTCTTTTCTCTCAAATTAGTATCTACTAAATCATTTAATTAAATCTGTGCTTAATTTAATCATTCAATCATATTGATATGGATTGTACTAAGTTACTATATAGCTATATACTCAAGAAAGTAAATAAATCTTACCAAATTCATAAAAACAAATATCTACGCATTTCAATGCCCCATTCAAGTGAGTGTATATATAGGACACCATTTGGTGCTTGTAACTACAACAGCCAAGCTAAAACCTTTTTGTTATATTTTCAAAAACCCACCATGAAAATATCTACCTCTTGCTCTTCAAGAATGAAATTTGAATATCAACTCCATTTATCCGCATTCTCTCTCTTGCTTGTACTTATTTCATCATCACCTACAAATCATAATCCATATCAGAATCAAGACTCTGCTACTATTCTCTGTTATCAACTTAAGAGAATTCACCATTGTGTGTCATTCCCATCACGATCATCGACTTCGTTAGAGAATATTGATGGGAGATATGGGATGGTGAAGAGGGTAGGACCTGCTCCTACGACTCCAAAACCCAATCGCCCTCCATCATCGACTTCGACGAGGGATATTGATCCAAAATATGGCGTGGCGAAGAGGCTAGTGCCTAGTGGTCCAAATCCTGATCACCCACCATCATCGATTTCAATAGGTGATTTTGACATGAGATATGGGGTGGTGAAGAGGTTGGTTCCTACTGGTCCAAACCCTGACCACCCACCATCCTCAACTTCAAATGATATTGATCTGAAACATGGCTCGGTGAAGAGGCTAGTGCCTAGTGGTCCAAACCCTGACCATCCACCATCAACTTCAAGAAAGGATATTGATCTAAGATATGGGGTGGTGAAGAGGTCGGTTCCTACTGGTCCAAACCCTGACCACCCACCATCCTCAACTTCAAATGATATTGATCTGAATCATGGCTCGGTGAAGAGGCTAGTGCCTAGTGGTCCAAACCCTGACCATCCACCATCATCAACTTCAAGAAAGGATATTGATCTAAGATATGGGGTGGTGAAGAGGTCGGTTCCTACTGGTCCAAACCCTGACCACCCACCATCCTCAACTTCAAATGATATTGATCTGAACCATGGCGCAATGAAGAGGCTAGTGCCTAGTGGTCCAAACCATGACCATCCACCATCATCAACTTCAAGAAAGGATATTGATCTGAGATATGGGGTGGTGAAGAGGTCGGTTCCTACTGGTCCAAACCCTGATCACCCACCATCTTCAACTTCAAATGATATTGATCTGAAACATGGCTCGGTGAAGAGGCTAGTGCCTAGTGGTCCAAACCCTGACCATCCACCATCATCAACTTTAAGAAAGGATATTGATCTAAGATATGGGGAGGTGAAGAGGTCGGTTCCTACTGGTCCAAATCCTGATCACCCACCATCCTCAACTTCAAATGATATTGATCTGAAACATGGCGCGATGAAGAGATTAGTGCCTAGTGGTCCAAACCCTGACCATCCACCATCATCAACTTAAAGAAAAGATATTGATATGATCTAGGGGTGGTGAAGAGGTTAGGACCTGCTCCTATGAGTCCAAAGCCCAATCGCCCTCCATTGTCTACTTCGACTAGGGATATTGATCCAAAATCCTAAGTATCTGTCATATTCGGCTTTACTAAAATAAATTATAATTTAATGCGGTGAAAAATTAGTGATTAGTGGTACAAATCCTAACCATGCATCCTTCACGATGGAGGGGATATATTCGCGTTTAAAGGGAAATTTGATCTTCAAAACACTATATATGTTCCAATTGATGCCTGTTTGCATCCATATCAATTCAATGATCGATTCTTCATTTGATGAGAATAATATTAATATTTGATTTTAATTAAGGCTTGTGATTGTAAAATGTTAGAGTTATTATTAGGTATACTAGCAAAAATTTGCATCTCGCACAAAAATGGTCTATTTTTCCAACATTATAATAGCGATGACTATATTGAAAAAGATTATAAAGAAAAAAAAAATTATACATTCACACAGAAAAGATTTCTATTTTAAAATTTGAAATTGCTCTCACTTTTTGAAGGATTAAATAATAATATATGCTATATATGGTAATTTAATTTATAATAATAATTTATGTTCAAAATATTCACTGAAATCATAGTAACGATTTAGGCTCAAATAACATTGTCTATGAATTATGTTCGAAATAGTGGTAATGATTTATGCTCAAAATATAGAAATAAGTTATGCTCAAAATATTCAGAATAGCTAAAATTATAGCAGTGAATGAATTATGCTCAAAATAATTATAGTGATTTATAGTTGTAATGATTTAGGATCAAAATAATGCTAATGATTTATAGTTGTAATTATATGTGTTCATAATATAGTAATGTTTTATGTTCAAAATACTTGAGAATAGCTAAAATTATAGTAATGAACGAATTATGCTCAAAATAATAATAATGATTCATAGCTATAATGATTTATGCTTAATACATAGTTTGACTTTACTAAATTTAAAGCATTATATGAATTTGGTATCATTTTACAATTAGTTGTAATGATTCACTTTATCAAATTTAACAATTTAATAATTTTTTAATATTAATTAAGATTTTAATTTTTTTATTTAAATTCATGATAACATAATTTATTCTGTGTATTGAAGGCTTCTTATTAATTAATTATAGTAAGAGTATCCCCAGATTCTTTATTTATCTTTTTTCTCATATCTTTATCAAGCTAGCTTCCAGATCATTATTACCACCACCACAAGACGGAGTACGTGAACCACCCGTTGTTCAAGATGTTGCTTGAAGAAGCGGAATCGGAGTATGGTTACAACAGCGGAGGGCCGCTTGGAAGCTCCCCTGTGACGTAGACCTTTTCGTTAAGGATTTGGTGGAGGTGGAGATGGATTCCGACGACGACGATTAGTATTTTTGGTTTTTTTTTTTTTTTTGTTATTTGAAATTATTAAAATAAAATAAAAAATTACTATTTTAATATGATAACCTCCACGTCAGCGAATTAAGAGGTAAATATGTCACTTTTAGTTCAATTGCATCATTTTGCGTTGTTCACGGAATCAATTACATTTTTTTGAGTTCAATGATCTAATTACATTTTCGTATGTAGAGTGGCCTATTTAACCCTTATTCCTATTTAAATTAATAATGGACTAACCATTAATGACAAAAGAGCGAAAATAACTAGTTTTTAATAAATGGAAAATGCTGGCAATGGAGAATTTTGGAAAGAAAAAAAAAAGATATATCTGAACAAAATGGAAATATATTTATGATTGGTATATTCTAAAAGATGTTGTGAAAAATATCTTAGAATCATATATATAGTAGTATTTATTATTTGATTTCAATTTGTCCTTTTCATCAATATTAATTATACTTCTTTTATACAGCTCTACTCAAGAAAGTAAATACATCTTACCCACCAAATTCATAAAATTATTATTATATATTCATGTCAATACGATTTATTCAATAAAAAATATATATCTTACCAAACTCATAAAATTACTATATATTCATTCTTCCAAAAGGCTAAACCCCAACCCTAAGGGCCCCCGCACCCCGGTCCGACAGAGCATTTGGGAGAATGTAAATCATGGTGACTCAACTGAACATGAACCATAGAGGCTAGACCGGTGCTCACTGCGCACAAGGAACTCCCCTCACTTTGAGAGGTTACTCCCACACTGTCGCTGGTGAGACTCGATCCCTGGTCATTTTTCTAAAGTTTTACCTCTATATATTCATGTCAATAAAACTTACTCAATAAAGAAAATAAATCTTACCAAACTCATAAAATTACTATATATTCATGTCAATACGATTGAAGTGAGTGTATATATATAGGAGACCATTTGTACTCATTTCATTCATCTACCTCTTGGTTTTAATTTCAAGAATGAAATCTGAATATCATCAACTTCATTTGTTTGCATTCTCTCTCGTATTTGTACTCATTTCATCATCACTTATTCACGACATTACCTACAAACTAAAATCAACATTATAATGATTTTAATATGAGATATGGAGTGGTGAACATTATAATGATTTTAATATGAGATATGGAATGGTGAAGACTGACTGAAGAGATTGGTTCCTAAGGGTCCAGATCAATATTGAAAAAATCGCTAGGCACCTCAGGACTGTCTAGGGCACCTATGAGGCCGACCGCCTAGTGCCTAGGCGCGATTTTTGCAACACTAGTCCAGATCCTATCCAACCACCCTCATCATCAATTTCAACAAATGATTTTGATATGAGATATGAGGTGGTGAAGATATTGGTTCCTAAGGGTCCAGACCCTATCCAACCACCCTCATCAATTTCAACATATGATTTTGATTCGATATATGGAGGGATGAAGAGATTGGTTCCTACGGGTCCAAATTCTGGCCAACCATCATCATCAATTTCAACAAATAATTTTGATAAGAGATATGGAGGGATGAAGAGATTGGTCCCTACAGGTCCAGATCCTAGTCAACCACCATCATCAATTTCAACTTCAATCGATGATTTTGGTACGAAATATGGAGCGATGAAGAGATTGGTTCCTACGGGTCCAAATCCTGGCCAACCACCATCATCAACTTTCACAAAAAAAAAAAAAAAAATGATATGAGATATGGAGCCATGAAGAGGTTGGTCCGATCCCTACAGGTCCAGATCCTGGTCAACCACCATCATCAATTTCAACAGATGATTTTGATAGAAGATATGGAGCTATGAAGAGATTGGACCTTACTGGTCCAGATCCTGGTCAACCACCATCATCAATTTCAACAGATGATTTTGATACGAGATATGGAGCGATGAAGAGATTGGTTCCTACGGGTCCAAATCCTGGCCAACCATCATCAATTTCAACAAATGATTTTGATATGAGATATGACGCTATGAAAAGATTAGTCCCTACAGGTCCAGATCCTGGTCAACCACTGTCATCAACTTTAGAGGATATTAATTTAAAGTATTGAGTAGTAAAGAGGCTAGTACCTACTGAATCAAACCACGACCATTCTTTACGTTGAAGGGGAGATATTTATGTTTAAGGGAAAAAGTTGATATTCAAAGCACTATATACGTTTGGTTTGAAAGACCTCCTATTGCTATTCAGAGAATTCTTCGGGAGGATGAGTTAGGCATTCTTTGCAAGAATGCTACGGTGAGGGTTGTCTAACGATCTGCGGGTTTCCCCCTTCTTTTCACAAAAAAAAAAAAAAAAAAAAAAAAAAGCACTATATACGTTTAGATGCATATTTGCATCCATTTCAATGATATCTTGATTTGATGAAAATAATAATAATGTTTGATTTTAATTAAGGCCTGTGATTGTAAAATGTTAAAACTATTATTAGTTATACTAGCGAAAATATGCATCTTGCCACAAAGATTAATATCTATTTTTGCAATACAATAACGATGACTATATTGAAAAAGATTAGTGCGAAAATAATTTTTGAAAACTAGATCAATTCAAAAAGAAAATTTATAACTTCAAATCACATAATTATTTATGTTAATGGAAATTGTTTCAAGAAACTGAAAAAAAAAAAAAAAAAAACCTCTTGATATACACATTAGATTTAGGAGTCATTTTTCAAAAATTTGCAATGTTAAGTTCACCATAGAGAATAGAGTTAATAGAAAATTTACATTTTAATCGAAAAATGACTAATTTTGGTAAAAATGTCTTTAAGACATTTTCTGGATCTCTCTTTCATACTTGACTCTCTCTTATACGAATCTCCTTAGTAGATTCAATCAAGAATTATTGTCTCGAAATATTTTCAAATTCAATGAAAAGAAAGTTACCTTTGAAGCATTGATCCGGGTGAAAATCAAATACAGAATTTTGTTTTTATCGTTTATTAGGGTGGTGTTTAGGCATGATCTTGTAAAACTATACTCTGCATTTTGTAACAACATAATGTGCATTTTTGAATAACTTTTATTAAATCAATGAAAAAAAACTAAATTTTAAACCTAGATCGTAAATATTAAACCATAAGCAGTAAATTAAATTTAAAAAAAAAAAAGAAGAAAACTCAATTTGACAAAGAATGTCTTCCAAAATTTTTTGTCGGAAAAATTTTTCCAGATTCTTTATTTATCTTTTTTCTCACATTTTTTTCAAGCTAGCTTCCAGATCATTATTACTACCACCACAACTACCCGCACCACTACCTCAACCACAACTTATTATTATTATTATTATTATTATTATTATTATTATTATTATTATTATTATTATTATTATAAAACAAATAATATGTTCATTTTTAAGGAAAAAATACAATTTCTTAACTTTCGTTAACGAAAATAATTAACTAATTGTAAATAAATAAATAAAGGCATTATCGCTTGGGTCACACTTGCTTGTGTGAGACCGCTTCACGAATCTTTATCCGTGAGACAAGTCAGGTTGCAATCATTATTGCATGGACCATGGTCCACACAATTATGTGCACCATAAACAAAAAAGTATATTTTTAATATAATAAAGGTACATTATTGATGTACATAAGGTACATTTTTTTAAAGTACATTTTTAATATACTAAGGGTACATTATTTTATATAACTTCAGTACAAAAATAATGTACCTTCAGTAATATTAAAAATGTACCTAATATTCATGGTCCACACAATTGTGTGGATCATGGTCCATACAATAATTTGCCGTCAGGTTGAGTTAATATGAAAAATGTAATACTTTTATATTAAAATGTAAAAGTTTTACATATTTATATGTTTTCCCAAAAAATTTTACACTCAGTTGTGCATAAGGAGCGCTGGTGAGACTTAATCCCTAGTCATTTTTTCCAAACTTCACCCCTATGAGTCTATGACCAACTGAGCTGCCTATGCGGGCTTATTGGTAGTAAAAGTTAATAGTATATGTAGCATTTTTCATATAACTTAGAACTAAAAACACAAAATTTGTTTAGAGGTGATGAAGACTCATTATGTGTGGAATGTACAGACAGGGGTGGAACTAAAGACTGACGGAGCGGTTTGAGACTTATCTCTTCTAGCGCCCTTCGGTAAGGTTCTGATACCATAAAAAAACACAAATTTTTAAGAGAAAAATGATATGACTTAAATGTCATGACGGGAAGTGACAATGTGGATGTTTGAATCACACTAAAAATGAAAAAATGGATCAAAAATGTTAGAAAGTCTGAATCAGACCCATTGTAAGCACATAAAAATTAGGATCTGATCGGTTGGCTGATTATGCAACTTGTAATTATATTTGATGCTCTAAAAATGAGGTACTTTGTGTTTAAAATTAGTCCAACTAAATTGAAATTAGTTGAAAAAAACACACAAATTTCCCAAAAAATAATTATTTTAAGAGAGGGAGACTCCACCGACGCTGGCGGGCCATTTTTGCTCGTCTCCTTCACAGAGTGAAAAAGGTTCAACTTCACAGTTCACACGTTCATACATCTCTCTCCAAACATAGATCTTATTCTTGGTCACTTGAAGATCTCCAATTTTCCGTGTTCTACACTGTGAATACCAGAAGATTGATTGATTTAACACGGAGAGTTCGACTTAGTGAAAGTTTGTAGTGGGCGCTCTAATGACGGGTCGTGCTTCAACCAGTCTCTTAGTCTTCTCGCTATTTCTCCTCCTAAGCGTCGCCGTTCACTGTAAAACCCTCAAGCGTGATGGTAATTTCGCACCTCCTCTATGCCCCTTACCTCGATCCGTTTCCGATGCCCTGTGAAAACATGTAATTTTAAGCAAGAAATTAGCTAAAACAAGTGAAAATCATTGCATTTTTAGATTTTGACTGATGTTTTAGTTAGTCTTGAATTTTGAAGTTTTTGTCTTTAGTTACTTGGTTTATTTTCGTTTTACTGTTTAAAGTAATTTTTAGCTTAGTGTTTAGAGGATTTGGATGCTAATTGCCCATAATAGTCTTATGCATCTGTGATCTAACAATAAGGGTTATTATTAGGGATTAGGCTCCTTATACTTATAGCCTGGATACATGATGGGGATTATGGCTAGGTTTAGCACAAAACTTAAGGAGTAAATGTTTGGTCAGAGTATTTAGTGGATTGTGGATATGCTATAAAATAATAGCTCTTTAATTTGAATTGAAAATCTGAGATCCAGTTATGCCTAGAATGCTACATAGTTTTGATTGTTTAATTGATTGATGTTATAAGAAATGGGAATGGATTATTTGCTCGTTGGTGAAGTTGTACTTCAATGCACATCTATGTGCTTTGCATATGTTAATGTTTGTGGTGAAAACTGAAAAGTGTTGATTAGGCTCAAAAAGGATGAAAAGGTAATAGCTTTGGTATTTTCGACTAATCTTACTTGGTTGGTGAGTGTAGTGAAAGCTTTGAATGAAATTAAGGCATCTCTTGGATGGAGGGTGGTATATGCTTGGGTTGGAGATGATCCGTGTGGAGATGGTGACTTACCCCCATGGACTGGGGTCACATGCTCTACTGAGGGCGATTATCGAGTAGTGACTGAATTGTAAGTTGTGCCACTATTTATTTATCTTGGAATTTTTATTTATTTTTCACTGCAATACAATTTATTCATGTGGCTATGCTCCGGTTCGTCATGACTTTCCTTCTTTTTACAACTTGCAGGGAAGTCTATGCTGTTTCAATTGTTGGCCCTTTCCCTACTGCTGTGACGAACTTGTTGGATCTTACTAGGCTGTAAGATTCTTTCTTTGGGTTAATGCTAACTTCTCATTTGAATAGCTTTTTGTACTTCAATTCTGATGGGAGATTTGAATTGATCATTTGCATCTCTCCTGTCACAAATTTATTTTCAATCTTTCACTTAACTTATGTTCTAGAAACTGAACATGAATATCGTATTGAGGGCAAATGGGCAATAGTTGGTTGAATTTGTTTTTCATACACTATTCATGTGTTTTATATTTCACTAAAGCTCCATTGTCTTTTCATATGGCAGGGATCTGCACAATAACAAGTTGACTGGTCCAATTCCTCCTCAAATTGGACGTTTGAGGCGTCTTAAAATATTGTACTGTCTGTTATCTTGTTAAAATCTCTCGATTTGGTGGTTGCTTGTGCATTTTAAAAAATTTTCCCTACTGCTTTAAATTCTCATATTTTTATTTTTGGATTCTCCTAGGAATTTAAGGTGGAATAAGCTGCAAGATGTCATTCCTCCCGAAATCGGTGAACTGAAGAGGCTAACACATCTGTAAGCTATATTTGCTTCTTGTTGAGGCTATTTGATGCTACGAAAATTTCTTTCTAGTTTTGTTCCTCATGCAAATTACTGACTGTGTCTCGGAACTTGTTCAGCTACCTGAGTTTCAATAATTTTAAGGGTGAGATCCCCAAGGAACTTGCTAATCTTCCTGAGCTCCGCTATCTTCATCTTCATGAAAACCATTTTGTTGGACGAGTCCCACCCGAGCTTGGCACTTTACAATATCTTAGGCATTTGTAAGATGCTATATCAACTTCCTTTTGTTATTTTTAGAGTGTCCAGTGCTCTTGCGTGGTGTTGATTGTCTAACCGTTATCCAATCCATTTTTCAGGGATGTTGGTAACAATTGTCTGGTTGGTACAATTAGGGAACTCATACGCATTGAAGGATGCTTTCCTGCCCTTCGCAACCTGTAAGTTGATTCGAGTTGCAAGTTTCAAAACTATTTGTGACTGAATTACCGATTTTTGCTGACCAAGATAATACCTTTTTACAACCGTTGCAGTTATTTGAACAATAATTATCTTACTGGAGGTCTTCCTGCACAACTTGCAAATTTGACTAACTTGGAGATTGTGTAAGTATCTTGTGTTTATGCAAAATGAATTGTCTTCTAACCAGCTTAGTTGGTGTGAGTGGCCGTGCACTCTCGTCCTTTAAGATAAGTCTGGAGTTCAAAACCCCTCTCGTATGGAAAAACCAATATGGTCAGCACTTTGCCCCTTAATTGGGCCATCCCAGTGCGAATTGAGATTAGTCTGAGTATGGTACAGGCTTAAAGGTGCCTCCTATGGTTAGGGCCTACTCAGAAAACCTCGTGGTCTGACCAAAAAAAAAATAATAATAAGAATTGTCTTCAAGAAGTTTTTGTGAGTTACAAGTTTGTTCAATCATATTATGATTTAAGATGCTAATATTCTGGATGGTGTTTGCTTCATTACCTGAATTTGATTGTCATGTGTGAAAACAGGCATCTATCGTCCAACAGAATGACTGGAGTTGTACCACCCAGCCTTGGTCATATTCCCAAGCTAACTTATTTGTAAGTTTTCCGATCTATTTTCTTTACTTTAATCATTTAGTGATCTGAATCTGAAGCCCGAATGAATACTTTCAAGGATGTGTTATGTGAAGGACTATGCTTTGTCGAAATATAAAACGGACTATGTTTGGACAAAATATGATCCAAAATGTTCCTTTAACAGCACATTTATATAACCTGTCTCTTTGGCAAAGAATGACAATAAAATTATTGTCTTTTCTATTTTGTGTCTTATTCAGGTATCTGGACCACAATCAATTTACTGGAAGGATTCCTGATGCCTTCTATAAACACCCTTTCGTGAAAGAACTGTAAATCCCCCAACTTTTAACTGATTTTATTTCAGCTTCACATTTTGGAACCGCGTCTAAGCTAGGAAGCTGTATGCGTTTTGCAGGTACATAGAAGGGAACTCGTTCCGGCCTGGCGTAAATCCCATTGGTGTGCACAAAGTTCTAGAACTTTCTGACTCAGAATTCCTATTTTAGGAGACAAGCATGCCTATATCTTACTTATTTTGCCAAAATTAGTTCTCCTAGCTTTGTCAACAGCCAATGCTGGTGCAATCTGAGTGCTTATTCTTCATAGATTTTCTTCTTGAGAAGCATTCTACAATGTCAAAGCTTTTGAGAGAGCAAACACTCACACACTGTTGTATGTCTTTTAATGAAATCAAGGCATATTGTATTTTTTACTTTGCTCTGTAATTTGCCTTACATGGTCTCATGAACTGGATGATACTAACTAAAGAAGAGTCACCCTGAAAGTCTTGCTATAGCGGAAGGATAGGGGTTCGATTCTTACTGAAGATATTGGGTCGATGAAAGACCTAAAGTCTAAAAAGTTAATTAGAAGTGACTAAGATTCTCTGTGTAGAATGTATAGGCAGGGCGGAATTGAAGACTGATTGGGCGATTCGCGATTTAATTTCTTCAGTGTCTTTGGGCTAGGGTTTTTTGGGTTTAAGATTAGTTTAAGTTGGGAAATTTAATGTATAAGAAAAAAAATTAAAGAAATTCTATTTTTATTAGAGCAACAAAAAATTGGAGAAAAAAAATATATATGTTTATTTGGTACATTTTTCCAATTAATAACAAAGAAAGAAATGATGAAAAATTGGGAAATAAAAAATACAATACAGTTCCGTGGAGCTTAGCTCAATGATTTAACTGTTTAATGGTCATTTTGGAAGTCTTGCTTTAGCGGCAAGGCCCAAAACGTCCAAAAAAATTGTCAGGAGAACTGAGAATTTACTGGATGACTCACGATTTATAACGTCTAACTCGCGATTTACCTCCTTCAACCCTCTTGAACAGAGGTTCTGGGAGCTTAGAATTAGTCTAGCGTAAGTTAGGAAATCTAATATATATATATATATATATATATATATATATATATATAACTTAACAGTTAGAACTGAGTGTCTACCTGCCTGTTGAACATTAGTAGAAGCTGATGAACTTGATGCATCTGTGGGTGTGTTTTCTCCCCAGCAACAAACTCATGAACACAACCATTGATCTCCACAGAGCTGCACCCTGGTGTCTTCTCTATATGCTGCTTCTTCATCATCTTCCTCATCCTCCTCGCCCCCTCGTGCTTCCCTGCTGCAGCGTAAACATTAGAAAGCAAAACATACGCCCCGCTGTGCTGTTCCAACTCCACAACCCTCTCTGCAGCAGCCTCGGCCAAACAAACCCGCCCATGATTGGCACAAGCACTCAACAATGCTCTCCAGGCCACAGCAGAAGCGCTCGAGCTTGGCATGCTCAGAACTATATTCTTCGCCTCTTCGACCAGACCCTCTCGGCTAAAAAGGTCTATTATGCACCCGTAGTGCTCGCCTTTAGGCTCGATGTTATATGTGTTGCACATGATTTCCAGCAGCTTCAGACCTTCATGTGCCATTCCTGAACAGCTGCAAGCAGTGAACAAAGAAACGAAGGTAACACCGTCTGGTCTAGTCCCAGCATCGTTTTGCATCTCTCGGAATAATCTCATAGCGTTTTCACCATCCCCGTTCATTGCGAATCCAGAAATCATGGCATTCCAACAAATAACATCTCTCTCGGGCAATTCGTAGAACAGTTTCTGGGCTAAACCCAAGCACCCACATTTCGCATACATGTCTACAAGAGCTGTGCCTAGTCTCACATTTATTGCCATTCCCAGCTTCTCCACATATCTATGAACCCATTTGCCTATATCCAGTGAACCCAGATGGGCACAAGCTGAAAGTATGCTCACCAGAATTGCCTCATCAGCCTGAACCCCAGTCATCTGCATTAGCCTAAACAACTGCAACCCTTCTTTAAAGCAATTGTTCTGTACATACCCAGATATCATAGACCCCCATACTCTCCTATCCTTCACTGGGGTCTCATCAAAAACCAATCTTGCTTCAAAGACATCACCTTTTCTTGAATACCGAGAGATAAGAACTGTCCAAGCCACCACACAACGGCTAGGCATTTCATCAAACACACACTGTGCAGATTCCATGTCATCAAGACTAGAGTACATTACAATCAAGCTATTCCCCACATAACTATCCATCAAGAATCCAAATTTTAAGCATTGCCCATGAATTGACCTCCCAAGATTACAACTTTCCATATTACCACAAGCTTTTAACAGATAGGGAAGTGTGTAATTATCTGGGCACATCCCAGTTTTGAGCATATGCTTGTACATCTCCATAGTTCTGCTCAGCTCACCCTTGAGCAAGAAAGCTTTGATCATGGTGTTGACAATGCAGATGGTGGGTTGTTGAATTCTCTCGTAGATTCTCCATCCGTAGGTTGGGTTTCCAAGATTGGGATCTGAGCAGAAGGCTAATAGCCTGCTGAGGGCGAAAGTGTTGTTCCCAAGCCCACATGTAATCACTTGGCCATGAGCTTGGCTTAGTTGCTTCAGATTCTTGCATTTCTCCAGGAGTTTAAGGCATCTCCCAGTGCTTGTTGACAATGACATGGGTTACCCCTCACAAAACCTTCCTCGTTTCACTATATATAAAGCTCCCCCAACTTTCCTTCTTAAAGTTCAGTGAAAGGTTTCAGCCAATAATCTTTCATTTAAAGTCATTATGTCAATTGTTGCATCAATTCTCTTGTGGTTTCAAACATGGTAAACTTAAAAATTAATTACTCCGTATTATTATTTGATGGATATATTGAAGATGGACCCGGTACAAACCGACCCAGCGGAGCAAGAAGGATTCGATTGGACCGGAGCTGGCCCCGTGTTTGACCCAGGCCACCAAGGCCGAGCCCGGTCTGGGCCTCGGCCTAAGCCCTCAGCCGTAACTTGACCTGGACCTCGGCTTAGGCCTCAGACCGCGCTCGGTTTGGGCATAGGTGGAGCTTGGCCGCGAGGTCGAGCGCTGTCCAAGTAGTTGCAACTAATCCCTCCTTTTTAGGGGGACAATTAGGAGGTTTTGAGTATAAATATCCACCTATTCTCTTTTGTGTGTTGAGAGATTGTCTTCCTAGACTTGATAGCTTCCAATCTTGTGGTGACATTCATTCCTCATCACATAAGACTAAGATGTGACAGAAATATCCTATTAAAAATAAAAAAAAATAAAAAAATAAAAAACCAAAAATAATCCTCTAACCAGTCCCTACATCAACCAATTTCATCTCCAACACATGCAAATCCTAGATTTTGTGCTTGCGTACTGTTTTTGTGGGTAAAAGATCGGACAATTGAAAAATTCTTTGGCAAATCAATACTTGAGTTCACATTGAATTGAAGAATCCACATCAAGTGGAGGGTTGAGAACTGATGGTGTGTGGAGGGTTGAGAACTGATGGTGTGTGGAGGGTGGAGTGTGATGGTTTTAAATAGGTAGTAATCACAAGGTTCCAAATTTAACTATCTACGAAAGTTGTTATTGGTGTTTTTAATTTGAGTCGGTTAATTATGCACTTTTGGATAGCCATTTTGGACTTTTTCATAAATTTAAAAAACAACAATTAAAATTGTAAGTAATAAAAGGTCATAAAATTCAATTACTGCGGAATATATCCTAACAAAAAGAGAATTTTAATGAGAATGAGAATCTATAAATAGATAGCAAAAGGTCAAAAGTACTTTCAAAGATTCCGAATTTCAAATAAAGTGAATTCAATCAGATGGATTGTTCTATTTAATACGATTTATATGATAAATACTAGCTTTAAAAAAAAAATACTATTATTTGTACGTGTGATGTGTGAAAATAAGTGCCTAACATTTTTACTATAAGTTGTAGAATTCATATTATATTGAAATAAGTAATTATTATCGTAATATTTCTATTTATATATTGAGAAAATTATATTTATATTGAAAAAAATGATAATTAAAGAATTTTGAGTAATGTATAATGTACAAAGTTATAAAGATAATTGGTACAAAATCATTAAAAATTTAATTTATAGTCGTTACACTATATTATGATAATTATAAAGGTGCATTATAATTTTTATTTATTTAGTCATTAATGTTAGTATTTTTTTAAAAGTAATTGAGTTATAATATAATGGTGTAAGGGTAGTTGTATCAAACGAAAATGTAATAAAAGTAATTTTGTCAAATAACAATGTAGTGTATAACATTTTAAAAAAATGTATACATACATTTATTAATATAGAAAAAGGGACAAAACCCAATAACATAACCTGGATTGACACATTTTTAGAAGTAAAAATTACAATTTGATTTATAATTCTCTCTTCATGTTCATAATTACATATTAAATCATGTCGAATTGTAGATGCTGCAACTATGAAAGTATGCATGGCTATACCGAATACTTAGAAGTTAGAACAATCAAGCATATCAACATGATGTAGATATGCACCAAATACAACTCGAAATTGATGTTTTTTTTTTTTTTTTTAGGTCTAATCAACCTTAGCTAAGATACACCAAGACCGTCACATATCGAGACTAATATTATTCGTGACGGATAAAACCTTAAAGGGTGACAAAACATCCCTTCATGAGGTTTATAAAGGTAGTTGCATCTCTTGCCATTATATTGGCGATGATTAGTACCTATAATAATAATAAGGGAAAAGAGTCAAATAGACTCTTAACTTAACTCAAAAGTGCAATTAGGTATTTGAACTTTAACGAACTTGTGAAAATGAGTCAAATAAGTCTAATTTACCGATAACCAATAGGTTACCGGTAATTTTTTTACCACCGTCAACTGTTGCTAATCACTGTTCACCACCGCTTAAAAAAAAAATCACCAAAAAGACAATTTTCGGTCGTCTTCCTCCGGAGAAGGCGACCGGATCTGCTCGCCTTCTATCAAACCTAGTCCAATGGGATAACACATAGTAGAATCTTGGGAAAAAGTGGGCGTGAAGAAGAAGAAAAGAATGCTTTGCTTGATGATCAATTCTTAAAGATTCAAAACCAGGCATTAGCTTCTTGCAAGCAAAGCCATCTTATCCGTTACTTTGATCCTCGTCCCCCAACAAGTATCTCTCTTAACTATATTATGCATCTCCTTCAAATAAGCCATCAACCCATCCATCACAAACTCTTTGTTATTACTATTGCTGTTCATAAAACCTCAGAGCAATTGAGGTGTTTAATTTAATTTGCTGTTGACAACTATAGCCAATTGCCTATAAAACATGAGGTAACTACGTGCAATCCATCTTTTATTTTATTTGGCACCACATATGATGTGGTGTTTGGTAAATAGTTGTTAGATGATTGGGTTAGTGGGTTTGACTAGTTGATACTTGATAGCAGTAGCTGATTGTAGAAAAGTGTTTGGTAAATTAGTTGTTAGTTGATAGCTGATTACATGTAAAATGATTTTCTAAAAAAGCTGATCTAAAAAGCTGCTTTGAACAGCTTTTTGAATTTTAACGTTTTGGAACAATAAGCTGTTACAAAAAAATCAATTAATCAAACACTCATATTGATTATTTAACCAAGTTAAACAACTAATAGTGGTGAAATAAGTCAAAATTGACTAATAATAAATTAACTATATTACCAACCAGGACCGATGTTCCTATAACGTCAATCCCTAATTACAGCTTGTTTAATTGGAGTGAATTAGAATTCCACTCTCACCTAATTTCGAAAGACGAACAATTCCTTTGTTTCATGGAAGGAAATTGCAATTCCTCCATTTTCAGAGAATTCAATGCATTCCCTAATTCTGCTATTTTTGGAAAGATACCCCTTCTCTTTTCAATTTAATTTGCACTAATTAATGACAATTTATAAGGCAATATTCTGCGTCTCGTCGAACTGCTCCAGATCCTTCAATGCCACCTGTAATGGTAGATCCAAGGGCAGATGCTTGGGAACATCAAGAGTTAGAAAAAGTTAAATTGCGGTAAATATAATCTACCTTCTTATTCTTTTTCCTACTATATAAAAATTCAAATATACTTTTAGTTTAAAAAAAAAAAAAAAAACTATTTTCACCTTGGGCTAATAACAAAGGGTTCAGGTTTGAGAAGCTGAATAACATAATTGTTGAATGGGAGGCTGACAAGAAGAACAAAGCAAAACAGCAGTTACAAAGAATTGAGGTTTGCATTAATTGCTTTTTTATTATTCCATCGCTCTCATTTTACCTGTTTAATATTCATTAATCAAATTAATTTTTTTTGGTTTATTTTCTTTAGTATTTTTTAAAGTTATTGTGATTAATAGTATTTTTAATGTAATTTCGAAATATATAAATGTTATATACTAATACTAAACTTGATAACAAATTAATTTAAAAATAACTTCAGTTATACATCGTTAAACGAACCAGACACATAAAATTGGATTGAGGGGTGCCCGCATAATTTTATGTATAGATATGTAGTTTAATTATATATTTAAAACTTTATTAAGAAAGTAAATGTGAAAAAAAAAAATTGTGGATGGATGTGCAGGCTGAATTGGAAGAGAAAAGGGCAAGAGCTTTGCAGCATTACAATGAAGAGATCACAAGGATAGAAAGCATATCAGGAGAAGCAAGAGCTCAAGAGGAGGATAATATGAAAAGAGAAGAGCAGAAGGTGAAGGAGAAGGCTAACCAATTAAGATATACTGGCAGGCTCCCTGAACAAACATGTTTTATTTGCTAGCTACCTACTCTCATCTATATCTATACACACCATTGTATATATCTATATTGTGATGTATATATACTCTACATGCATGCATGCATGCATGTTGTAATAATACTATATATACAATGTGACAAATTAAATACATTATTATATTATATTCATCTTCCGTCTTCACAGTACAAATCATGCATGAGTATTATATTGTATAATATAATGAATATTTTCACAATGACAAGCTAATTAACAAGTAACCTAATACTGGTATTAATGTTTCTGTTCGGAACAAGCGCTTACCCCTACGTCAAAAGATATAACTCGATTATAGTGAATGCGTAATTTTATTTTCTTATATTGCCAAATTTTTTAAAACTAATATGCTGGACTTGATCTTTCAAGCCTCTGCTCAATAATCTCCTTAACCACCAAGAATTGGTCTTGGCCCTTCACCGACTTCCACCCAACAATTTCGTCCCGTAACAATAAAAGTCCAACTTCGATCTCTAATTACTATCACTCTAATCACATCATTCTCTCAAACACACCCTTAATATACTGCCAAACAAAATCTTAGATAGTGCTAAGTTCAAATGTCAAGCCATATTTTCAAGAGAGTTTTTTTTTTTTTTTTTTTTTTTTTTCAAAATAATCCCTCGACTATTACTCATTTTCAATTTTGTATTTTGACTTTCAATTCCACTAAATGTGGTCCTTCAACTTTCAAAAACTCACCCAATTCAGTCCTCCATTAAAATTTCTGATCTATTTACTCGGCGTTAAAATGGAAGGCATTTTTATCCGTTCACCTATTTTCTGCCTAATACACTTATCGATAGCCGAGGGACCATTTTGAAAAAAAAAAACTATTTTATTTATTCCAATTTTGTTTTTAAACTCTATCAAATTGAAATTTTTGTAGATTTTTTTTCTCACAAATTAAAAAAAAAAATTGATAGGGACCATTTTGAAAAAAAAAAAACTCTTTTATTTATTTTATTTTTGTTTATTTTCATTTTTTAGACTCTATTAAATTAGAGTTTCTATAGATTTTTCTCACAAATATAAATAGTTAAAATCACATAGTATACTCCAACCTCCAAATTTTCAACTTTTTCTATATACTTTTTCCCTTTGTATAAATATACAAACTTTACCTCCATCTTATCAAGTTTTACAATACCGTTTCGTAACTTTCAAAAATACTCATATACTTTTTTATTTTTATCTTTTTATGTTCATATATATATATATATATATATATATATATATATATATATATATATATATATATATATATATATATATATATATATATATCATACTAAAAGTTTAATAGACAATCAATCACTATGTATTACAATAAATATTATTTTTATAGTTGAAAATAACATTTTTTTTTTCAGTTTAGACACCCAACAAGTGCAAAATGTAGGAAAAATGTTGGACCGAAATGTAAGTTCTCCAGTAAACTTCTCCACTGAGCCGAAAGGCAAATTCTCGCATGTGACCGGAATATAAGTTTACTTCTCTGGCATACGACGAGGGGTGCACTTCTCAGTCAGAGAGGTATTACTGTTATAATGATATAGTAAAAATTAACTTACAAATTTCTTTAGAAGTTTAATGCATTGATAAAATTCTGAGAATGATGTGTAACTTTGTTTAATTCGAGCCAGTGGGATGTTAACATTGTCAATTATTTGAAAAATGGTCCTACCATTTTAGAGTCAATGTGTAATTGTATTTCTGATAAACAACTTTGTAGTTAAGTCGCGCAGGTCTGACAATGATATAAGAACAATTTTATCCGATAAAAGAAATAATAGTATAATATTTGTAAAGTAATGTACAATTGTACCATTATAAAAATACATACAAAAAATATTAATACCATAATGACCTAAATCATTCAAATAATGCAAAAACATAATTGAAATATTGAATTTTTTTTTATATAAATAATCAAAAGAAGATTATTTAAACGGGAAAAAAAACTTAACATAAATTTGTTTTTTTTTTTTAAATAAAAATGAAAGAAAATGATTTTCAAAATTCTTGATTTATAATCTTTGATGCTCAACTTTGAATGCTATATATGTATTTAATCGGGTTAATTATTTGATCAAAGTTTATGCTAAATTTTATATTGTATTTTTTTCCCTACATTTTAACATATTCGAAGTATATGTTTAACCATTATGTCAACTCTGATTGGAATGAGGTTCAAATCTAAGACATTTCTTATAGAAATTAGTAAGTTAAGAATAATAAATAGTTAAAGTAATATTCCGTTACTAAAGTTTATACTAACGGAATGTAGCGTTATTTAAGGAAGAAAATAATATAACATGGGGTAAATGAGGAAAATCATAAAAAAAAGTACTAAAATCAAAATAATATGAACCATTTATTTCAAGAAACAATTACACCAACATTTTTTTGTTCCTGTTAAAGGCCTAACATTATTGGCTCTTATTAGATTTGTAGATTGTAGATTTATTTATCTCTAATCACGTACTATACTCTATACATATATACACACAATGGGGTACTATATAGGGGGGTAGGGGAGGGGGGTGGGCGCTTATTGCCCCCACTATAGCTACGCCCCTTTCTACAATGGTGATTGAAATATATTTATGATTGGTATATTCTAAAAGGATGTTGTTAGAAATATCTTAGAATCTTATGTATAGTAATATTTATTATTTGATTTCAATTTGTCATTTTCATCAATATTAATTATACTTCCTTTATACAGCTCTACTCAAGAAAGTAAATACATCTGACCAAATTCATAAAATTATTATATATATATATATATATATATATATATATATATATATATATATCTTACCAAACTCATCAAAAAATTACTATATATTCATATCAATACGACTTACTCAATAAAGAAAATAATTTTTACCAAACTCATAAAATTACTATATATTCATGTCAATACGAGTGTATATATAGGACCCTATTTTGTTAATTAAAACTACAAGATCTAAAATCTTTTTTGCTATATTTTCAAAAATCTAAAGTGAAAATATCTAGCTCTTGGTTTTCAAGAATGAAGTCTGAATATCATCAACTTCATTTGTTTGCATTCTCTCTCCTATTTGTACTCATTTCATCATCACCTACAAACCAAAATCAACATTATAATGATTTTAATATGAGATATGGAGTGATGAAAAGATTAGTTCCTAAGGATCCAGATCCTATCAAACCACCCTCATCATCAATTTCAACAAATGATTTTGATATGAGATATGGAGCCATGAAGAGATTGGTCCCTACAGGTCCAGATCCTGGTCAACCACCATCATCAATTTCAATGAAGAGATTGGTTCCTACAGGTCCAGATCCTGGTCAACTACCATCATCGATTTCAACAGATGATTTTGATACGAGATATAGAGCGATGAAGAGATTGGTTCCTACGGGTCCAAATCCTGGCCAAAATCCAACGCCAATTTCAACAAATAATTTTGATATGAGATATGAAGTTATAAAGAGATTGGTCCCTATAGGTCCAGATCCTGGTCAACCACCATCATCTATTTCAACAGATGATTTTGATACGAGATATAGAGCGATGAAGAGATTGGTTCCTACGGGTCCAAATCCTGGCCAAAATCCAACGCCAATTTCAACAAATAATTTTAATATGAGATATGAAGTTATAAAGAGATTGGTCCCTACAGGTCCAGATCCTGGTCAACCACCATTATCATATATCAACTTTAGAGGATATTGATTTAAAGTATTGAGTAGTAAAAACGCTAGTACCTAGTGAATCAAACCATGACCATCCTTTACGTTGGAGGGTTGATATTTATGTTTAAGGGGAAAAGTTGATATTCAAAGCACTATATACGTTTAGATGCATATTTGCATCCATTTCAATGCTTTCTTGATTTGATGAGAATAATAATAATGTTTGATTTTAATTAAGGCTTGTGATGGAAAAATGTTAAAACTATTATTAGTTATACTAGCGAAAATATGCATCTTGCCACAAAGATTAATATTTATTTTTGCAATACAACAACGTTGACTATTACTGAAAAAGATTAATGTGAAAATAATTTTTAAAAACTAGATCAATTCAAAATGAAAATTTATAACTTCAAAGCACATAATTATTTAATTTAATGGAAATTTTTTCAAGAAACTGAAAAAAACAAAAAAAAAACAAAAAAAAACAAAAAAAAAAAACTCTTGATATATACATTAGATTTAGGAGTCATTTTTAAAACTTTTCAATGTTTACTTCACCATAGAGAATAGAGTTAATAGAAAATTTACATTTTAATCGAACAAAAAATAACTAATTTTGGTACAAATGTCTTTAGGACATTTTCTGTATCTCTCTTTCATACTTGTTTTCTCTTATACTAATCTCCTTAGGAAATTCGATCAAGAATTATTGTCTCAAGATGTTCTCAAATTCAATGAAAAAAAAGTTACCTTTGGAGCATTGATCCGGGTGAAAATCAAATAAAGAATTTTATTTTTATCGTTTATTAGGATTGCGTTTGGGCACGATCTTGTAAAACTATCGTTTATTAGGATGGTGTTTTTTTATTAATTTTTAATCTAATTTGTTATCAAATTTCATTTGCGGCGTTACTATAATTTTATCTTGGGACTTAAATGTTTTTGAGGCGTTAAGTTCCATAAAATATATAAACATAGATGTCTTAATTCAATTATTATAAAGGCTCAACGGTTCAACATAAAGGTTGAATTTCTAACTAAGAGACTTGAAATTATCTAAGTAAATCTTGATGCACTTGTACAGTTGTACGTAGTCCCTTTGAACTTGATAAAGGGCGATTGAGATTTTTTGTGTTTGAACTTGCTTGCTTGTATGAATATATCTTCTGTTTCTCTTCTTCTTTGTATTAGAGATATTTAAAGTTATGGGGGTGTTTAATTGGTAAATAACTATTCTTCCAAAAGGCTAAACCCCAATCGTTATGCTGTGCATCCGTATGCACCATGCATGGTGCATACGGATGCCAAAACGACGTCGTTTTATTAAAAAACGCGCGTCTCCCCTTTAAAAAAAATTCAGGTTCGATTCCC